GGAAGAGACACCGCCGCCGGCAGACGGTCGATTCTTTTTTTTCGGAAGGCAAGTGCGGTGGCCCATAGGGCCATCCGTACGGCTGAACGTGAATGTTGGGCGTCCTATGTCTCCACCATCACGTCCGAAACTCTTCTGCCACAGATCTAGAAGCGTATCCACAAGATTGCGGGTAAGTTCGTTCCCGATGTCTCACCGATCCTTCACCTCGATGGTACTCTTGTGGCGGACCCATTGCAGGTCGCTACCGAACTGGGTTCCCACTTTTCTTCTGTTAGCTCTGGTTTTCATCTTCCCCAATCTTTCCTTCTTCGTAAACTTGTCCTTGAATCTTGTCCTTTGGATTTCTGTATTCATCTTCGCTTTCCCTATAACGATCTCTTCTCTCTCTCTCTCTCTGAAGTTCGGTCTGCCCTGGCCCTCTGCGGTTCTACGGCGGTGGGCTCCGATGGCATTCATTATGAGATGCTTTGCCATCTCCCTCCTTGCACGTCTCAGTATTTACCGAGTCTGTATAATCGGATCTGGGAGTCGTCGTCAGTCCCTGAGGACTGGCTCGTTGCCGTTGTCCTTCCTGTTCTCAAACCAGGGTCTCTGGGAACATTTCGCCCTATTGCCCTTACAAGTTGTGTCTGCAAACTCTTTGAACGTATGTGTTAACGTTCATCTGATGTGGTTGATGAACCCTTTCCCCATTTCAATTTGGTTTCCGCAAGTGCCGCAGCACAACAGATCTCCTGGTGAACTTGGAGGTCTATATTCGTACTACTTTTGCTGCGAAGACCTCCGTTGTTGCCGTCCTTTTTGACCTGGAAATGGCTTATGACACCACTTGGCAATATGATATTCTATCCCAGCTTCATTCTTTCGGTCTTCGTGGTCATCTCCCTCTCTTTCTCCGCAGCTTCCTCTCTCGTCGTTCCTTTCGGGTGAGGCTTAGTACCCCACTCTCTGCCTATTTTCAGCAATATGAAGGTGTGCCCCAGGGTAGTATTCTAAGCACTACTCTTTTTCTGGTTGCCCTCAATGGTCTTCTTTCCTCTTTTCCTTAAGGCGTCTTCTCCACTCTTTATGTCGAAGATCTTGCCCTTTGCTGTCAGGGTGATGATTCACCTCTCCTTCAACGCCAGCTTCAACTTATGATTGATGCCATGTCATCTTGGGCCACTGATCATGGCTTTAGGTTCTCTACATCTAAAACTTGTGCTATGACTTTTACTTGGAAGTGTGTCGTTCTTCATCCTTCTTTGTCGCTTTATGGTCACCCCATTGTGTACAAGGATTCCGCTAAGCTTTTGGGGTTGATTTTTGACACTCGTTTGTCTTGGTCGGCCCATATCTCTTACCTCCGTGTTGAATGCTCTAAGGCCCTTACCCTTCTTCAGGTATTGTCCCTATACTTCTTGGGGAGCGGATAGGCACACACTACTCGCTTTACATTCCTCTCTCGTCTTGTCTAAGCTCGATTATGGTTGCCCTGCTTACTCATCTGCTTCTCCTCCTACTCTTCACCGTCTTGATGCTTTGCACCATACTGGGTTGCGCCTCAGTTCTGGTGCCTTTCGTTCGACTCCCGTCCTTGGCTTGTATGTTGACACTGGCTTCCTATCTCTCCTGGACCGCCATGATCACTACTGTCTTCGCTATCTTGCGCGGTCCTTGCGACATCCTTCCTTCTTCTCGCCTTTGTCATGCTTTAACTTCTAACCCTCCTGCGATTCCTGTTCCTCTTCACCACCTCCCTCTTTCTGTCCGGTGATCTCGCTTACAGGATTCTTTTTCAGTTCGTATTTCTAATGTTTCTACTCGTGTTGTTCCTTCCTTGCCCCCGTGGAGAGTCCCCCTTCAGCAGTTTTGTACATCCTTAACCCACATCCCTAAAGCTTTTACTCTCCTACAGTTCTAAAACGCCTTTTCCTTGAGCACTTCACCGATGGGTCTAAGTCTGTGGACGGTGTTGGCAACTCTGTTGTTTTTCCTAATTGCACTTATATGTGTCGCTTACCTCCAGAGACTAGCATCTTCACAGTGGTACTTTGTGCTATTCTCTATGCTCTTCGTCTCCTGCTTTCTCGTTGTCAATCTCCCTTTGTCATTGTTGTTGACTCTCGTAGTGCCCTCATGGCTCTTGAGTCTTTTAATCCGGTTCATCCAGTGGTTGTCGTGATCCAGCATTGGCTGTTTCTTGTTCACAGTAAATTTAAGTCAGTTGAGTTTTGTTGGGTTCCCAGCCATATTGGTGTCTCTTTAAATGAGCGTGCAGATGCTGCCGCCAGGGAAGCTGTCCGCTCTTGTCCCATCTCTCATAAAGGTATTCCTTATTCCTACTTTTACCCGGTTATGCATTCCTCCATCCTTACCCGTTGGCAGGCTTATTGGTCGTCTGTTAGTGGTAACAAACTGCATACTCTTAAGAGTTGTGTGTCCTTGTGGCCATCCTCCTACCACCGTAACCGGCAATGGGAAACAGCTCTGGCGAGGTTGCGTATTGGCCATACTCACTTAACTCATGGTTACTTGATGGAGCGCCGCCCTGCTCCTTATTGTCCTAATTGTATTGTCCCTCTTACGATCGTGCATATCCTTGTTGAACGTTCTGACTTCCGGGACGAGCGTGTGTCTTGTTTTCCAACCGTCCTCCACGGTTGCTTATCCCTCGATAGTATTCTTGGTGACTCGGATACTTTTGATATTGTTCGCCTTATGCGTTTCTGTTCTCGTATTGGCGTCCTTGGTGATATTTAGCGCCCTCTGATTATCCTGCACATTTGATGGTGCTACATAGCCTTCCCGGTTTGGTGCCTTTTGATAATTACTTGCTCAAGCAATGATCGCTAGACGGCGTAGAACGCCAGGGGCTCACTGCATCAAATTTAGTTTAGAAACAAGGCTGTGGACTAGCTTTACCCTTGAGAAGTGTCAAGAAGTCATTAAGTGAATAAGGGAGTTGTATAAGTTTTATATGTGAGAGTAATATGGGTAAAAGGGTTTAATTGAAAGCATGTTCAATTTAACAATAATATATTAAAATTAATGAATGTACCCGTGTGTAAGAGGGTTAACAGAAAATTTCCCCTCCAAAACTAAGCGGCCAGAGAACTTGTTTTCCACCATTTACTGCGGCTACAGAAGTGAACTAACTTGTGCACTTGTGATAGCTCTCTTTAGCACTAACAATGTAAAGGTAATCCACTGGTGTACAGCGGTACACTGACAACACTTCGGTCAGTCAAAAGGCAGGAAATTGGCATTAGTGATGATGTCTTGAAACAAAATTGAAACAAATCAAAGTAGACAACAATGATATATCAACGCCTGGATAAGATCGCACAGTAACACATGACAACAATATACACAATGTAATCACTGTGACGGATCCTCGGTTCCTTGACCAAGTACCCAGACGCCGTTCAGTGTGAAACGACCACTTAACACTGTGGTCAGAAGTGACCCTAAATGTCATGATTCTATGACCTGACATGGGTCAACTGACAGGACGTTACCAGGCAGGGCTAACGACAGTCAGGAGTATATATATACGTTACCTCGGTCCGTTATGGACCTGTGACCCCTTAATGAACCGATGGTCGAATCTGGGGAATCACAGGAGCAGGTGATCCCAGATCACCGAGATAGTGTGAGTGCCACACTTACCGTAAACTCCGTTTTTATTCAAGCAGGTTGCAATCTGACTGCAACCTACTGAACTTCGCCCTTAGAAACTTTCCCTGGATGCATTGCACTGTCGTTGTGAAGTTATTACCTAGTTGTCTGCTGCCAAGCCCTCATAACGTTGCAGAATCCCAGAATTCAACCGAACTGACCGCGGTGCGTCTGCCTCCGACGCTGTTACTGGGTGCAATGGGAGGCGACAAGCGTCATTCAGGAGTTCCCGCCACGTCACGTGACCTCCGATCGCTTTCTCATTAGTCACACGCCTACCAGTGTGTGACCAATCGCCTCCCCTCGATCCGAGAACTTCGGCGTTGCCTTCTCTGCGATTCTCGGCGGGAAAACTCTCTCCTCGGGCCAGGGTGATCCGCCATCTTTGTCCATAAGGCTATGTTAGAGGGAGTATATGACTCCTCACAACTGGGAAGTGACGTGTTAAACGGCAGTTACAACTGTCACACTGGTCCATGAATTTAACATTGATGCTTAAGTCACACTGACCCTTGAATATCACACTGACTCATGACTGTTTTGACTCTCACACTCACTCTTGGGTGCCACATTCCGCACGGTTGCCCTCGAATATTTTACTATAGACTGTCACACTCATTATTGACTGCCACCCTTCACATTTAACTGGCACACTCACCCATGAATATTACACCCTTAACTGCCACATACACATTGGACTGTCACACTCACCCTAGACGGTTATACTCACCCCTAGAGTGCCACACTCACCCAAGATTGCCACACTCATCCTAGATTGCCACACTCACCCCTAGATTGCCACACTCACCCTAGAGTGACACGCTCACCCTAGAGTGACACGCTCACCCTAGAGTGACACGCTCACCCTAGAGTGACACGCTCACCCTAGAGTGCCACGCTCACCCTAGAGTGCCATGCTCCCCCTAGAGTGCCATGCTCCCCCTAGAGTGCCACGCTCCCCTAGAATGTCTCACTCGCCCCTTAAGTGCCTCACTCGCCCCTAGAGTGCCACACCCCTAGAGTGCCACACTCACCCCTAGAGTGCCACACTCACCCCTAGACAGTTATACTCACCCGAGACACAGTTATACTCACCCTAGTAGAGTGCCACTCACCCATAGAGTGCCACTCACCCCTAGAGTGCCACTCACCCCTAGAGTGCCACTCACCCCTAGAGTGCCACACTCACCCTAGTAGAGTGCCACACTCACCCCAGTAGAGTGCCACACGCACCCCAGTAGAGTGCCACACTCACCCTAGACAGTTATACTCACCCTAGTAGAGTGCCTCACTCACCCTAGACGGTTATACTCACCCTAGTAGAGTGCCTCACTCACCCTTGGCTGCCAGTGACAGAAGCAGCAGGAGGCGGAGAGTCACGTCAGATGAGGCGGCCGGCGGGGAGGTGTGGCTGCACATCCTGGAGAGAAGTCCCTTGACTTCTGGCTCCACCACCTCGCACCCTCTGCGGAGGTCAGAGCAGTGGTCAGGGCTAGAGGACTGGGGGCAGGTCAGGGGTTATGGCACGGGGTAGGGCAGGGTTAAGGACATTTCTCTGAGTAGGGGACATAGCTAGTGTCAGGGATGGGATAAGGGCAAGGGTGTGGACGGTGTCAAGGCAAATGTCAGGACAGTAATCTGGGAAGGGGAAGGGCAGGGGTCAAGGAAGAGGTAAGGGCAGGGGTCAGGGCAGGAGTTAGGGCTAGGGTCTGGGCAGGAGTTAGGGCAGGGGGGGGTCAGGGCAGGAGTTAGGGGAAGGGGTCAGCGTCGGAGTTAGGGCAGGGGTCAGAATCTGGTTTATAACTGGAGTCAGAACAAAGGTCATATCAGGATCGTATCTTGCACATTGTGGCCCCCAAAATTACCACGTTATTCAGTGGGCTGATAGTGAACAAAAATGCTACATCTAGTAAACATCCCCAGTGCACCATCCTTCGCTGCCACCACAACTATGCCAGAAACTTAAGTTGGAATCATCCGAACTCGTATTTAATTCTGGGGAAGAGGAATCACATCACTAAGATGGCAACTACAGGCTCAGCCTTTTACCTGTTTACCTGTGTGAGTACCTTACCTGAGTACAGGTAAGGTCCAAGTTACCTTACAGGTTATAGTACAGTATACCTTACCTGTACCCACACCCAAACTGAGCTACAAGTGACTCAGTCCTCCCCCACGTTACTCACATGTCCTTGCAATTAGTTGCCTTTGTATACTCTTCATTCTCTTGCAGTCCCCATGGCATAGTGGTAAGACGCTCGCCCGAGGTTTTGTGGGTGCTTTGGCCTGGGTTCGCATCCTGGCCGAATCTGTTTACTTAACAATAATATGGGTACCTGGTTGTTTAACGATTTGGTGGGTCGTTTTCCGGGGAATATTAGGATTAAGGATTTGCCCGAAATGCCATGCGTTTGTACAAAAATATATGAACTCTTGTATATAAATAAATAAATAAATAAATACAATTATTAAGTAGGCAGGACACTATTTATCTCTCATAAATCTCTCACAGTGGACAAGAAGAAACAAATCTTCAAACAAGCATTCGTTTAATACAAAGAAATTACAATAAATGAAAATGACCTCAGGTGAGGATCTCAACTCTCTTCCTAGTTCTAGACTGCAGCCTAACCAACATTACACATATCAAGTAAGTTGGATTGTCCTTGCACATATATGTACCTGGTTGATACCTGGTTGATGGGGTTCTGGAAGTTCTTCTACTCCCCAAGCCCGGCCCGAGGCCAGACTTGACTTGTGAGAGTTTGGTCCACCAGGCTGTTGCTTGGAGCGGCCCTCAGGCCCACATACCCACCACTGCCCAGTTGGTCCGGCCCTCCTTGAAGAAAGCAATCTAGTTTCCTCTTGAAGATGTCCACGGTTGTTCTTGCAATATTTCTGATGCTGGTAGGACGTTGAACAACCGTGGACCTCTGATGTTCATACAGTGGTCTCTGATTGTGCCCATGGCACCTCTGCTCTTCACTGGTTCTATTCTGCATTTTCTTCTATGTTGTTTACTCCAGTACGTTGTTATTTTACTGTGCAGATTTGGGACCTGTCCCTCCAGTATTTTCCATGTGCATATTATTTGGTTTCTCTCTCGTCTTCTTTCTAGTGAGTACATTTGGAGAGCTTTGAGACGATCCCAATAATTTAGGTGTTTTATCTCGTCTATGCGTGCCGTATATGTTCTCTGTATTCCCTCTATTTCAGCAATCAAGTTAGTACATATTTCAAACTAACTTGCTAGGCTATTACTCTAGTAACATAAGTATCTGCTTGCTACAGTCGTCACCTAACAGTAATATATTTATCTCTGTGAGTAAATACAATTATCCAAAAACATGGTACAGTTCAGGATAAGAATTCCTTCACCCCCCCCCCCCCCCCGAAGTCCGATGTCCAAAGGGCTTGGAAAAGTCAGGAGGAAGAGGGGTGAGGAGATGCAATTCTTGAAGAGGATTTGGATGGTGAAGGAGGACGCTTGAAAGTTTCTTGGCCTCTCCATCCTGGGTTGGCATCAAGTGTATATCTTGGAGTGAAGTTGATTGTTGTTTAATTCTTTTGCGGCAGAGGTCTTGTGGAGTGCCTGTTGGCTTTCATGCTGGTGAAGGCGAGGTGCCGAGTCTGGCTTGGAGGACTCGACTTCCCGTTTGAGGCAGTACACGTTTTGTCATTCATGTGCTTGTGTTTAGATGGGCAGCATTTATGCCTGAGGTGACGTTTCATTAATGTGTAATGGTTCCTTCCGGGTCATCATCGTCGTCGTTGAGTTCGCATTGTTCCTCAGGGTGTCTGGCGGCGAAGACTAGGTTGTGGTACTCCTTTCTCAGGATGGAGAGGTCGAAGGAGTGCATGGCGTCGGCGTGGACGAACATTGGTTGCGGGTATTTGGAATAGCTCTTGTTGGCGATGATCTCATTGCATTTGTGTGACAACTGTTGTCTGGTAGTGGGGTTACCCCTGAACCTTCGAGAATAGACAAAGAAGCCATAGCAGGGACTTTTCTCGTCATCTTTGGATTCCTCGTCTTCGGTCTCGGTTTAGGTAACCTCAAGGTTCTTGCCATAGCCTGGTTCAATTGGTGGTATTATTACTTTACCTGGAGATGTGGTCTGGTTGTTATCTCTGTTGACGCTTCTTAGTTTTTGATCGCATGCCGATAGTGGGGGTTCAGGTTGCCACTGGGTAACGCTAGACCAGGTCCGATGAGGTGAGGGTCGCTGAGGTAGCTGGCATTGGACTTGTTGGTGCTGCTAGAACTGTTGTCGATTCCTTCACCAGAGGTTCTCTTGTCGTTGCTATTGCTGCCGTTGCTGCTACGGATGCCGTTTGGTAGTGAGATCTGGACTAGTTGAGCAGGGGTAGTTTGTAGGTGCAGTACTCTGCAAGGTGAATCAAAACAGGGAACAGAGTGGTGGCGGCAGGGGCTGCTGATTACCTGGGTGCTTTGCTGGAGGTCTGGGCCGTCGTCATCTGTGTGTTGGGCCCCTAGTGGAAGAGGGGCGGGGCTGGTGCGGACATCGTCGTAGCAGAAGAGTTTGGTAGCATTGGGAACGTCGTGCCTTGGATGTTGAAACTCGTGGACTGATTGGTGGTTGGCCTGGTGGGTGCCGCCTTCTGACTTACTTTTACTCTTGTTGGGGCAGTCCATGGAATCAGCCTGGTGTGGGGGCCTCCACAGTTGATGCATAGTTGGATAGTCGACTGACAGTCCTTGTAGTGATGTTACTGGGTGCAGATGCTGCATTTTCCGTTGGAGAGTTCACAGTTCCTGGTGTAGTGGTCATACTTGTAACACTTTAAGTACTGACGTAGATGAAGGTAGCGCTCTTTCTTGACGGTGTCCAGGGTGATCGAAATGTCTAGGCATCTGAATCTGTTTTCCACTGCTTGGGTTGCTGCTGCAGCTGTAGAGAAGGTCACCTTCAGGGTAGGTCATAGGTTGTCGTCGTTTTAAATGACTTTAACTCTGACTGCAGTCAGGGCCGGGTTCTTATCGTTGATGCTCTTCACGATGTTGGCAGGTTCCTGGGTGGCGATGAATACACTGGTGCGGCTGATGAAAACTGTTCTATCATCCAGATAGCAACGGGTAGGTAAGATTATCAGGTCATAGTCTCATAGGCTGTCCTCGTGTTCTGGAGCAAACAGTTGTTCGAGAGCTTCCTCGCTTGAGTAGAAGAGAAGACATCTACACCGACGGCGTCGGCGCGGATGTCGTCGGCGTTGGTGATGTCGTCGGCGTTGGTGATGTCGTCGGCGTTGGTGATGTCGAATATTTTCGACAGTATCTGGGGCCGGGTGAACGAGGTTTCATATCGGAACCGAACTTTAATCCGGTGAATCATGATCGAGTGGATGCACAAGTACCATGTGGGGGTGCAGAGGTCTCGATGTCTCATGGAATGGCAGAGCGGACACATCCACTACCACTTGCTGAGGTGAGATTCGATTCTCCCCTATGCCTATGCCGCTGATTCTTTGCCATCTCGGATTCTTCACCCCCCAGATTCTTTGAAAGTGCAAAATGGCAACACCGCGTTTATTATTGTCGTAGTAATGAATTAGATTATGAATGAATAGGCGCTTTGAAACAATGAGTTTCATTGGTCAAAATACCACCCACCAGTTTATATAATTCACACTGCCATTGAAAGGAAAATAGTGAAGTACAGTGAATAAAAACTTATATATATATATAGATTAGCGAAAAAGGGAGAGATGGCTCTACTTTTGTGCTTAGGAGTTTATTAATCTATTACGTAAAGGATATATTGTATGATAATTTTATGTATTGGCATTTGGTTGTTGAGGCAAATGACGTGACATCACACAAAACACTCCCTCCCCCCCTCCTTCGTCCTCACACCTCGGTCAACAACACGTATAACGTATTTTCAAGTTAAAAGTTGTTTGCAAACATTTAATTTGTGATAATAGTTGATATACTTTAAATGAATAATGGTATCAAGACCTAAATGCACCCCAATATTTAGTATGTTACAGCATGTATATTACGAGATACTTTAAATATTTGGCAAATGTCTGATCATATTGTGCGTGTATTTTTTTTTTTTTTAGAAAAAACTCAAAACAAAAAATACAAAATTCAAAAAAATACAAAAATAAAAACAAAAATACAATAAAAACTCAGACAATGGAATACCTGAACAATTACAAAACAAACCAAAACAAAATGAGAACATTCACATCAACATCACAAGAACATATAAAGAATATACAAATTTATTAAAAGAAACAATGTAACAGGAAGGCAGATCAACCATCCATGCAGCAGGAATACGGAATGCGAGCTACTTCCAGTACTCATCAAACACCCCTTCTCTTCCTCGGTGGGCTCCCTCCAAGATGGAAGCCACGATGGACATAGCCACGGAGACCACACAGGAATGGCCTGCAAGAAGTCCTTCAAAACAAGGGTGCTGCTGCATGAAGGGC